TTGTATGAGCCCCTAATAAAATTATTAAAAAATAAAATTAAGAAAAGATGAGGTTGTCTACTCTGGTAAAGAGTGACAGTCTCAGAAGCCAACAGGGGCAGTTCTACCCTGTCCTGTAGGGTTGCTGTGAGTCAGAATCCACTGGATGGCAGTAAGCAAGTTTGTCTCATTAAATATCATTCATATATATATATATATATATATATATATTTATTTATTTATTTATTTATTTAGAATTAATATTTTTAGAAAAATGGTGTCAAGAACCAAATTAAAAATGTCTAATACCCTTACAGAAACCCTGGTGTCACAGCTTAGCTAGACCATGGTTGTCAGTGGTTTGACATTTAGACAAGGATGTCACCAAGCCCCATGATGTGATCTGTGTGATCAGCCAATTCCTGGTAAGGAGATTAGGGTGGAATGCAATACTCTTCCCCAGGCTGTTGCAAGGGGCCTGGGAGAGCCTGTCATGGTACTTCTAAGTCACCAGTCGCAAACAGAGAGCAGGTTGATTTTAGAAATCCTAAGAAAAACATATTCTGTTTGTTGGACAGCCCGTTTCATCATCTGATCAAATCAGTAGTAGCATTGCTTTAAACGCCCATATCTGTGAGATTTTTTTCCCCTTCTCCCTCCCTCCGTCCATAATTTCCTGTGCCTCCCATCTCCCTGCCCTGGCCCCATTCCTGGCCTCCTCGCAGTTTCCCGGATCTTATCCTTTAGTGTGAAAATGACGCCATCGTTGCACAGAAAACAAAAAGTGATTTCCTTTATCTTCATAAGATTAACGTTTGTTCATCTTTTTAAAAAAATCATTTTATTGGGGGCTCGTACAACTCTTATCACAATCCACACACACACCCATTGTGTCAAGCACTTTTGTACATTTGTTGCCATCATCATTCTCAAAACATTTTCTTTCTACTTGAGCCCTTAGTGTCAGCTTCTCATTTTTTTACCCTCCCTCATGAACCCTCGATAATTTGTAAATGGTTATTATTTTTTCATATCTTACACTGACCAATGTCTCCCTTCACCCACTTTTCTATTGTCCATCCCCCTGGGAAGGGGTTATAGATAGATCATTGTGATTGGTCCCCCCTTTCGCCCCCCACCTTCCCCTTGTCCTCCTGGTATCATTACTCTCAATATTGGTCCTGAGGGGTTTATCTGTCCTGGATTCCCTGTGTTGTGAGCTCTTATCTGTATCCGTGTACATGCTCTGGTCCAGCCAGATTTGTAAGGTAGAATTGGGGTCAGTTAGTTCATCTTTCTTAAAAAATAATTAAATCATTTTATTGGGGGCTCATACAACTCATCACAATCCACACCTACACCCATTGTGTCAAGCACTTTTGTACATTTGTTGCCATCAGCATTCTCAAAACACTTGCTTTCTACTTGAGCCCTTGGTATCAGCTCCTCATTTTTATCCCTCCCTCCCCGCTCCCCCCTCCCCCAGGAACCCTTGATAATTTATAATTTAATAATCTTTTAACTAAGTTTGCCAAGCATCGTGCTCTCTAGCTTCATTCCTGTCTTGCAGTTTTTGACAAGAGTCCTCTGTGGTTTTGTTTAATTGATGCAGAACATTCCATTGTATGAATGCAGCAGGGACTGTTTATCCATACCTCTATGAGAGGGGTTTATGTGGCTTCCGTGGTTTTGCTGTTATGGAGGCTGCTGCAATAGACAGAGTTGTGCATATGTCTGTTTGTGCCGTGCTCCTGGTTTCTCTAGGGTATAGTATACCTAGTAGAGCGATTCCTCTATCATAAGGTACTTGTATTTGAATGTATTTAAGGAAACACCATGCAGATTTCCATAGAGGTTGGACAAGTCTACAGTCCCCCCAGCAATGTATAAAAGCTCCTGGCTCCGGGCTCAAGTAGAAAGAAAAATATTTTGAAAATGATGATGGCGACATATACACAAAAGTGCTTGACACAATGGATGGATGATGGATTGTGATAAAGAGCTGTAAGAGCTCCCAATAAAATGATTTTTTTAAGTTCCTGGCTCTCCACATCCTCTCCAGCATTTATGATCTTCTGGTTTCTGTTCGTTTAATTTTGCTAAGATTGTCCGTGTAAAGGGATATCTTTGTTGTTTTAATGTGTATTTCCTTTGTTGAGTCTGCCCATCTTTGCGGAAGCTATCTGTCTCATCTTTCTCCCAGGGCAGTGGCTGGTGGGTTAGAGATGCAGACCTTGTGGGTAGTCCAAAGCTTAACCCGCAGCACCACTAGGGTGCCTTCACGTGGCTTGGTTACAAAAGTTTAATTTCTAAAGAGTAATTATGTATAAAGGAAAAGACTCTCTGGGTTCATGGGAAGCACAGAGTGTCCAGTGTCCAGTGTCCCTGTGGATTGAGGCCCCTGGCTGGGCCCCACGGGTGGTGCCGAGGTTGCCATCAGAAAGGTGAGTGGTTCAGATCCACGGGCAGTCTGCTTTCCTCCGGATTACAGCCTGGAAGACACCATAGGGATAGAGGGGGTCAGAGAGTTCCTCTGTTGTTAATCACACACTGAAAAGGTAGCATAGTTCGGGATCTGGTCTGTTGAGATGTAGTTTGCTAAAAGTTACGTTAGGGAGCTAGCTTAGGGACAGGGGGTGGTCCCTCCTATGCCTGCAAAGGCCCCCATAGAGGAGGTTGGAAAGAAATCAGGCAACCATTAGACACCTATGAAGACCCCAAACTGAGCATGCTCATGCTCAAGCCCCTGAGCCAGGTGGGAGGTACACCTGGGAGGGCTGAACTAGGCCCAGGCTCATGACATCACCCAGGTGGGCCTAACTCAGACAGTGGAGTCAACAGATACCATCCACCGCACCTCCCCCCAGCCAGGGGGTAGGCTAGAATAAAGGCAGGGAGCACGCTCTGGGACACTCTCCCTCCCCCTCATGGGCGCAAGTACACCAGCTCCAGGCCTAATTGGGGACCTACAGCTTCCCAGCCCACATGCTCACAGCCTCTACGGTTCTTGGACTTCTGGACTCCTGGGTTTCCCCCCAAGATCTGCACCTGTGGGTGCTCTTTTCCACCTGGTTGTTTGGGCTCCTTTGAGACTGTACAACCTGAAGCATGCCCTGTCCTTCATAAAAAACCAAAACTAAAACAGGCTTTGGCGTGAATGCTTTCATCGTGCGAAGCCAAGAACCGAGGTATTAGCAACCCCAGAAACCTAACCGTTACCCAGGTTGTAACAACCCCCTCCCCTATAGTCAATTCCTTTTAAATCTGTTAGTTATTCAAGGCCTGGGTCTGTTGAAAAACCTCTTAATTAGTCAGGATGTTCTAATTGAGAAACGGGGAAGCAAGGTCAATGAGCTAAGCATGGGCGCTGAGACCTTAGGGGTACCAGTCTGAGGGCCCCGGAGCAATGCAGATACATACCCTTTGATGTCTGGTCATCCCCTGGGGAAAGGTCGACTGTGTTCTGTGGCCCTTGTTATCTTTTGTCCCCCGTACTTGATGGTCCTCTGATCCTCATAAAACGTGTTCACGATCCCCACCCTCCCCTAACCGACCGTGAAGTTTGGAATATATACCTTGTTTGATTTTCACTGGAGTTTTGAAACAGCTCAGGAGCAGAAACCTGAATGTTTCCTTCCACAAGCACTTGCGAGAATAAACTTAGAATTTCTCAGATCCCCCTGGTCGCATTTCTTGGCTATCCCAGGACCCCTAGCAACTGACAATAGGACAGTTGGTTCTACTCTAACCTGTAGGGTCACCATGAGTTGGAATTGATTTGGATTTGTTTTGGGGGGTTTGGGGGGACTTCTTCACCACATCCCCTCCTCTAATGAGGAGCCTCCGACCTGATATCTGACAGCCTCCAAAGCTAGTACCTAAAGATCAAACACACCCTCACACATGCACACACACTCACACACCCTCACACACACAGGCACACCCTCACACACACACACACACACACACACCCTCACACACACAGGCACACACGCACGCACACACGCACACATACACCTTCACTCACACACACACTCTCACACACACACACACACACACACACACCAATGCCCACTCACTTCTCCTATGTGTCCCCACTCACACAGCCTCCTAGAATCGGTTATAGACACACTGGCACACTCCTCTTCACACACAAACTTGACCTCAGTCCCTGAAGCAATAAGACCCACTTAACACCCCCAAGGGTCTCATCTTCCTGGGATGGTGGGATGGGTGGAGGGAGCTTCGGAAAACCCGGACTCCTACCTGGCCACATTCCACTTTCAGGAAATGATTTTTTTTTTTTTGCTCCACCTAACTCGCTGGCCCTTCTCAGGGCTGGAGACAACAGAGAGAAACCAGAAAAGTAATTTGGATATAAAACAGGTTCTAGGAAGTGAAGCCTGATGGGAGGGGCAGAGACTGGCAAGATGAGAGAGAATGAGGCGCTGCCAGGGTGAGTCCCAGGCAGTGAGGTGTGTCTATGATGGCAGTGGGCTTTCTAGCCACAGGGCCAGAAGTTCAAGACTGCAGTTCTACCCTGTCCTATAGGGTCGCTGTGAGTTGGCATTGCCTCGATGGCAGTGGGTTTGTTTGTTTTTGATGAGCCTGGAAGATTGCATTCTCATGCCGGTCAAGAGTGTAGTGTAGTGTGTGTGTGTGTGTGTGTGTGTGTGTAATGCAGAGTAAGAAGAGTAAGAGTAATCAGGGAACTGTGGGTGCTTACTCTTGCGCTGGGAAAGGGTGTCAAGACAGGACCCTAAAGCAAGGAGTCCAGGCCTCCCTAGGGCAACAGGAATATGTATTATTCATGCTGCCCCACCGCCCCCATCCCCTGGGACTCATCCTGGCCCCAGCACAATTACCTGGGAGGAGACTTAGGCAATCGAGGGTGGGGGTGGAGGAATCCTGGCCAGGCAAGGTAGCCAGGATGCCACGGGGCGCGGTATGCAGAAGGCAGCCCGGCAAGAAGTCAGGGTAGGAGCTGTCCGAGGTTCCTCTGCTTGGCCCCCTCTCAGAAGATGGGGATGTCCAGATCCTTCCTGCTCTGCCTGTTAGGGGCTGTGCTCTGCCTGACAGGTACCCAAATTTCTATATCTCTGGAGAAGAGGGGATGGGGGCCTGAGAAGGTCTGAGGGAGGAGGAGGCTGGGAGCTTGGACTCCTGGGTCTGAGGAACATGGGAACTGGGGGCCTGGACTTCTGGGTCTGAGAAATATGGGGACTGGGGGCCTGAACTCCTGGGTCTGAGGGAGGGAGTGTGCTAGGGGCTGGATTCCTGCGTGTGAAGGAGGAGGGAGCTGGGGGTTCTGAGTCTGAGGGAGGATGGGGCCGGAGCCTGGGCTCCTGGGTCTGAAGGAGGCGAGGTCTCAGGGGCCAGACTCCCGAGACTGGTGTAATTATTTCTCATCCTTTCCTCTGTTGTCCCCCATCGATCATCCTCTCTTGTGTTCCTCTTCCCCACTCAGTCCTTCTCATCCTTCTTGCCCTCCAAGGGTCTTTCGGGAGCCACAGGGCTTTATCCAGAACTGTCACAAACCTTGGCTTCACCTTCAGGCACACACACCACCCCCTGTCTCAGAGCTGGGACAGGGGGCACCCTTGGGTCAGAAATGAAGTGGCTAAAGATTTGGGGCAGGAGAGAGGTGGGGAGGAGGCCGGGCCTGCACACACCCAACCGGCGTTTAATCTGGTGTGCATGCGCTTCTTGCACATCTCCAAAGAGATTTGGCTCAAGATACAGACTGCCCGTTTCCCAAATGAGATTACAACCAGCCATGACAACTCCCGGTTGTGGGGGGAGAAAGGGAGAATGCAATTCATTCAATCCGTAATAGGTTGTGTCCTCCAGTCCACACGAGGGCGCTCGACTTCTGCGCCTGCGTCAGCGCGTCCTGGGGACGGCTGTGCTTGTGGAGCTCTCTGCGCCTTGGTTCAGTATCTGGGTCTGGTCATGTCTGAGCCTCGCTGCCGTCGGAAGAGCAACCCGCGTGAAATGTTGCATAGCTGTGTTACTCGGTGACCTTGCCTTTGTGACTTGTACGCCTGTCGGCATTAAACTTCTGCGTTTGTTCGCAGACACTTAAGTACGTCCTTGGCTCTGTCTTGAAAATGTCGTCGTCGTTGTTAGGCGCTGTCCAGTGGGTTTTCGACTCGAAGGGACCCCGTGTCCAACAGAAAGGAAACACTGTCTTGTCTACGCTGTCCTGACCGTTGTGGCAACGGCTGAATCATTGTCGTGGCCCCTGTGTCCACCCACCTTGTTGAGGGTCTTCCTTCTCTTCCCAAACACCCTACTGGGCCAAACATTCCGACCTTCTCCGGGACCTGGTCCCTCCTGATATACCACATCCACAGTAGAGGACACAGTCTTGCCATCCTTGCTTCTAAGGAGTATTCTGGCTCTACTTCTGTGTGTGACTTTAAATTATATATATATAATTTATATATATATATATATATTAATTAAATATATATATATTTAATTCTGGCTGTACTTCTGTGTGTGACTTTAAATTATATATATGTATGTATATATGTATATTTTTTAATTCCAATAATATTTTACTGTGTTTTCAGTGACAGTCTACACAGTACTTTAGGTTCCCGTTTCAACAATCCCACACAAATTGTTCAGTGGCACCAGTGACATTCTTCATAACGCGTCCATGATCTACTGCGGTTTTGCGTGTTCAGTTTCCATGCATCTCGTTTCCCTGCCCTCTTACACGCTCATCTTTGTCTGAAGGTCATTGTTGACCATGTGGGCTCGTGGAGCTGATTAGTTAGAGGCTCGAAGTACTTACAGGTAGGTCATAGTTGTTATGTTTTAAGCCATTTGCTTAAAGTTGTCAATACACCTCGGGTTAGTTTCAGTTCAAGGGTGGAAGACTATCTCAGGGGAGTCCTCTAGGTCTCCACCAGTCCAGTACATCTGGGGCTTTTGTTGTGGTTTGTTTTGTGTTTTAGGAACTGGAGGCTCCACCCCACAATTTTCTGCCATTCTCTCAGGGTCCATCCATGGTACAAACGCTAGGTTTTTGTAGATCTCCTTTTTGCGCATCTCTAATTTTACATAATTGTGTGTCTCTCTAATGGAGCCCTGTGGCGTAGTGGTTACAGGTTGGGCTGCTAACCGCAAAGTCAGCAGTTTGAAACCACCAGCCGCTCCTACCGTGTCCTATAAGGTCCCTATGAATCCTCATCGAGTTGGATGGCAGGGAGTTAATGTCTCTCTTGCTCTTTGTCTCCCTATGGTTCTTGAGTCTCTGTTCAAATCTTGTTTTCTCTATCTCCGGGTATGACTTTATGTTTCTTGTGTCTGTGTTGTTACCATTTCCATATGTGTGTGTGATTTCACTCCACAGAGGCATAAAATCAAACAGAACCACCTCACTGCCATCGAGATAGCGTGCCTTGATTTGGAGGGCTTGTCTAAGTATGTAGCTGTTTCATGTGTGGATGTAGAAATCTGCACAGAGGTTCACACCCTTTGGAACATAGGTTGCCTAATTTGCATGAATCTCTGTCAGTTTTGTTTGTGTCCACCCGGGCATACTTTGTACAGTATCTCTAGGTCTGATTGTACATGTGCGTTTGTAGGTTCAAGATTGAAGAGCGTTCTGTGTATTGACGTGTTTGTTTTCCATGGATGATCTTTGAGTCCTGCCAATCCACATACCCACTTGGGTTTTTCAGGGGCTACATCTGTCATGAGTTTGGCTGGGCAAAGGATGGGTAGAGCCCTAGGCTTGAGTCACTTCCTCCTCTAGCTAAATCTTGGAGGACTCCCAGGAAGAGGGTGGAGATCTGGAACAACCGGTGAGAATAAACTGGATGGTCAGGTGCAGAGCCCTGCGATGAAGTCAGAACCAGCTATGACCAATCGACACCTGGCCTCTCTAGGCAATCCGGCCTGAATCCCTTCAGAGCTCACTCATTCCCTGCCATCCAGTCGAGGGGCACTCATAGACTCATAGCGGCCCCATAGGACAGCATAGAGCTGCCTATGTGCATTTCTGAGACTTGCAGGGAGCGGCTCTAAGTTCCTGGGATGGGCTCCTTCCTGACCATGCTAACCCATCATGTTCTTCCTCAGAGTCCCAGGCCTTGCAATGCTTCAACTTTGAACACACCTACTATGGGCCCTTTGATCTCAGTGGAAAGACGCTCCCCACCGCTTCCTGTCCCAGCCATTGCTTTGAGGCGGTCAGTTCAGTCAGCACGGGTGAGGAACGGAGGGCAGGGGTGTTGCATGACAGGGGGAAGAGAGAAGGGATCAGGGAGGAATTGTGGAAGATAACGAGGAGAAGGATGAAGGCAGAGCTATGGAAGCTGAAAGGAGTGGAAAACAAGTGGGTTGGGCTGAGCTGCTGACCTAAAGGTTGGCGGTTCGAACCCACCCCGCAGGCTCTGCAGAGACAAAACAAAGCTACCTCACTGCCATCGAGGCGATATCCACTCAAAACAAGCCTATAGGACAGGGCAGACCTGCCCCTGTGCATTTCCAAGACTGTAACTCCTTATGGGAGTAGAAAGCCGCCTCTTTCCTACATGGAGGGATGTTGGTTTTGAACAACTGACCTCATGGTTAGCAGTCCAACTGCGTTACCCACTATACCAACAGGGTGCTAGGAAACAACAGTGGAAAAGAAGAGGCTGGTGGAGGGATCAGGAAAGGGAGGCTGGAAGAGGTGGAGGAGATGAGACAAAAGAGGGAGAGGAGGCGAGAGGGGAGGAGGAGGAGCAGGAGAGGGAGGGGCAGAGGCGAGAGTCGGGGTGGGGGCGAGGATGCGAAGGGAGGTGGGGGTCGAGGATGCGAAGGGAGGCAGCATCCGAGACGCCATCCCCGCCCGCCTAGGATATCGCTCCTCGGTGACGCTGGTTAAAAAGGGCTGCTGGTCGGGCGCGCCGTCCGGCCAGATGGAGGTGAACCATAACTCGCTGCCCCCGGACTTCTCCGTGGTGCGCGGCTGCTCCTCCGACCTGTGCAACGTCGACATCCTGAGCCACGACAGCCTCCCCAACCTGAGCCCAGGTAGGCCGCGGGGCGGGGCCCGGAGTGGGCGGGGCGATGAGGGTGGGCGGGGTCCGCCAGGGCAGGGGCGGGGCCTCCGAGCCTCCGTGCACGCCCTGCGAGTGCATTGACCGAGGCTCTCGCGTGCCCGCCAGCGCCCGACCCCCCATTGCTCAGCGGCACCGAGTGCTACGCCTGCGTGGGGACCTCGCCGGAGGATTGCACCGCCAACAAGTCCCGGCGGGTCCAATGCCACCTGGATGAGAGCGTGTGCTTCCGGGGCAATGGCCGAATGACCATCGGTGAGAGCCTGGGAGGGCCTCCGCCTGGCGGGTCTGAGCGGGAGGCTGGGGAGCTGAGCTGGGCTGAGGGAGGAGGCAAGGCCCTGCTCTAAGTCTGTGTTGGGTGCCCTGGCTCGGGGGGAGGGCGTGGGGGACACAGCCTGCTGGGTTCCTTCCCCTCTGACCCCCCCCCCCCTTTCCTCATTTTTCCCCTCCCTCCCCCCCCCTTCTTCCAGCCAATACGTCAGTCCCGGTGTACATCAGAACGTGCCACCGGCCCTCCTGCACCATCGAGGGCACCACCAGCCCCTGGACGGACATTGACCTCCAGGGCACCTGCTGCCGGGGCAACCTCTGCAATGGGGACTCCGTGATAGAGCCCTTCGAGGCTGCGGCCGCTTCTCCGCGGGCACTCCCTTCGGTGGCCCAGCTTCTTCTAGCGTCCCTGCTGGTGGGCGCGCTGGGAGGCTCCCTTGGGCTCTCCTAGCCTCTCACACAGGAGGCTGGGGATGGTCGGG